TCTCCGAACGGTAAGAACTCACCATGATCTGAGTCAGTGACGATCACGAGGGATTCAACGCTAAGTAAAACTGGATCGTACTGGTAATTTTGTCAAAAAAAGATACAGAAATGTAGTATCAGTACTACATCATATTTTGCTCAATAGGCATCATGAATCGATGGAGCTCAAAAAGATCAAATATATTAAGAGAAGTGATATACCTTTAGCTTATAGTATTTTTTATGTGTTTCACTTAGAGCTGGTGTGTGTCTAGGGATATTTTGTTATTGGAAATAATGGTTCGATAAAATTCTTGTAGGAAATAAGTTCGGATGCAGTGGAGTGAGATAAGAGTTGAAATTTGGGAATTAGCAGTAACGGAGCCAACCACGGACAGTTGGTTCATTCATGGGTCGTAAGTGATGCACATAGATGATGGTTCAAGGAATCTTAACAAAGTGTGGAACCACAGAGTCTATTGACGACCCATCGATCGAATTATAGACCATCTTGTACATCCGTCGCTTGCAATCCAAATTTTGAGTTTCTGTTACTTAAAATGTAGAGGCAAGTGGTGAAATGTAGTCAAGTCCACAGACAATATAACAAACCATCGTTTAAAGTCACGAAAAGAATTTCCAAGTCTTGATCCACGAAGGAAACCATGGAACATAAGTGGATCCACAGTCCGTAGCTTCTGCCTCCGATTTAACCGCATCTAACCAATTATTTCCTTATTTTGCTTCCTACTTGGTTTAGTATTTGTGTACTATGAATATCAGTTTTTATATACGTTTTTGAGGGTTATACAATATTGTATACTTTAGTTTTGGCTTATTGGAATTATTTTTCTAACACTTGGCAATTTATTTTCAGGAACCTAGTTTATGGAAATTTCACTTTTAATTTCAAATTAAAGATTTCGGTTTTCTTGTATTCTCATTGTAAGTTCATGAATTCTTTTAACCTAATTATGAATTACGAACTCTCAATCACGAGTGACTAAATTAACATCTAGGGTTTTTGGAACCATGAAAAATTAACAAAGTATTAATAATAACAAAGTAACTGAATAGTGTTTATGCTTGTATTGTTAATCTTTTTATTTTGAAGTCTTTCTTCCGGTGCAGATACTTATAACTCGCCTCATTACTACTTGAACTTACCAAGAGGGTAATGAATGAGAAAAAGATTTTACAACAAAGGTTTAGTTAGGGATTTGCTTCTATCTAATAGTTTGACTATAATCAACTGAGAAAAGGGCGAATACCCTAGGTTAATTGACACAATGACTAATCTTGAGTGAAGGTAATGGTTAGTAACGCACACATTCGTAGATTTACCAAGTAACAAGTGAAAGTCTTTTTGATGATTGCCAATCACTTAGGGATACATAACTTATCGACCTTGCAAATCAAACACTAGGATAGGATTATGATTACTACATTAAAATCTTGTGGAAAACACACATACCCTAGGTTATATCTTATATTGATATCTTTAACTCTAAATTAATGAACTTTAATCAAGTATTTCATCATTTTATGTTTTTTGGTTTGTTTTTGTTTTCTACAGGTTTCAACACTAGAATATGTCAAGTACACGAAATGAAGGAAAATCTTAAACCCCCCTACGATTGTCAATTGAGAAGAACTTTGAGGAAAATAAGTACACAACAATCTAATCGGAGAGGGGTGTAGAAGAATGTCACATCGCAAGGCTAACCCCTAGAAGTGGACACAGACCTAAGATCAGACCCCAAGCTAACCCTAATGGTATGACATGAGCATAATGAGAGTAATAATAACTGATGCGGATACTAATAATAATGTATATCTAAAATGATAAGGGAATACCCATGTACAAAACCAAACATATTAAATGTGAGAATTCAATAGAAAACTATATCAATCTCGGAATACTAATTTGAATCTAATGATGTCTTAAAATAGCCCCTAACTAACTAGAAAATTTGGGACATGCCGCAGCTATGTCTAGCAAAATTAAAAGTAAAAGGGTGAACTTTTTTAATATAAATAAAGTATTTTCCTCGAAGGATGCGGACTCAACACTAATGTTGTTGAACTTGAGATGGGAAATCGATCTAAATGTGATGTAGATGCTGAAAAACTAAACCTACATCATAATAAAATATAGCGAAGAGTATGTGTCAGTACTTGAAAAGTACTGAGCATGAAGGATAGATTAATGTTGAAATAAACATATATAACTAAACAAGCAAACAAGAGTATAATCTAAACATGATATAGATACCGAGTAATGAGCAAGTTGAATGAAATGACCAAATCATAACATAATGAGACTAAATACTGACTATAATAAAATGTCGTAAATACAATGGTTTCTGAGTGAACTATGAGAGCTACAAATAACCGATAATAAAACCACATGAGATAAATGTGGATTTCAATTTAATTGCCGCATGCAAGGGACCTTATATACCAGACCAAGGATGTACATTCATTCTAGTGCGATCACTAAAATGATACCCACATAGGGGTCTTACAATCTATGTTGCTGGTAGTTCAAAGACTATATGGATGACTGGCCCTAGTCTAAATCAGTATTATGCTACTCCCAAATTATTAAATGGGTAGCGTAATATGATTGAATTTCTTTGATCTACTAGATAGCTCAAAACTGACATGTAAATTGGGAATACATATACATTCAAGACTAAGGAATGTATATTTGAAATATCAGACTTCACATGTGCAATTGAAGAACCAAATAAAAGCATAGCTAGGGTTCTGGATTTCATGCAAGAAACGATGTAATCACATGATAATCTATTGAAGTTCTAGAAACCCTATGTCTAGTTGATAATAGGGAATCAAGAATTTGACATAAATATATGGAACTAATGGGATAAAGGAACCCATTAGTAAACTCTCACATACCTGGTGGTGAATTCCTCGGAGATAACTTTCGATTTTCGACTTGAACAGATGGAATTTTGTTGCGATGTTGAACTGGGTTTTGCTGCCTCTTTCTTATCTTTAGGTTCTAATTTTTAAGGTTTTCATGAAATATGTGACTTAGATTTTAGTTATGTTTGTACACTAAAACTAACCAAAACCATGTAGCATAGGTTTTAAATGACGAAATTTAGGGGTCCAACAAAATGGGAAAAGAGAAGAATACCCCTGACTTAAACTGTTGATGGGGCTTTCTACGACCACTTTCACGGACTATTAAAAGGATCAAAGATGGTGAAGTGGGTTGTTGTATTTTGTCCAGAGTTTACTCGGTTCTAGGGGTACGGTCCATGGGCCATACTTGTTGTTGTATTTAGGACCATTGATAGTGAAGATTCCCGTGGTCCTCATTTGGGTCTTGGGGTCTAGTTGCGTTTTTTCATAGACCTTCCCACGGGCCAAATGAAGTCCCTGGTTGTCCTCTATTAGAAGTTGGGGAGTCCTGGGATTGACAAGAAGGTGGGGGGGGGGGCTGTTGCCTAAATTATCAAGGACCATCAGACAGTCGTGTGAAGGACCACAAACCGTGAAGGTCCTCATGGTCTTTACTTGGGCGTGGGGGTTTAAGGGGCTCTCTAGGGAAGATACTGCGTCGACTCAACGGATTCCCACGTGATCCGTTGGAAAGACCATGAAGCGAAGGGTCCCGTAGTTTTAGGTCTGGGCGGGATGATAACTCCCTACCATAGGAAGGTCAACATACCCGTGGTTTTGCTAGAAACAATGGAGACCACCATCTTCATCATCATTGCTAGAAAAATGGAAATCATTATTTAGATATTTTCTTTCTCCATATTCACCTTTCCCCACCCAGCAGCCCAATATACACCCTTTCATCCCAACGAATCGATGTAGAAACAAAAAGAAAAGAAAAGCAAATACAAAATAAAAATAAACAAATCAAGAACTAATCTTTTAAAAAAACACTATCAATTTTAACAGGAATAAGAAAGAAGTCATAAGGAGAAAAAGAAATAATAAATTCATATATAATATATCTTAAAACTCCCAAGAGTGATTGGTAGGGAAAGAGAAGAAAGAGGGAGATTTGGGGTGGGCTAGATAATTTCGTAATTTTTTTTGACAAATAAACTGAATTCTTTTGTTTTTAAATTTTGAGTTGTTTATACTTAAAATTGTTTGTAAAAATTCCATGTGTCTTCATTTGATTTGCTATTTGACATAACATATTCAAGTGTATTACACACATTTAGTATACTAAGTATCACAAAAATTTTCAATGAGTATTTATTTTCTAAGATTAGAGTGTCTTATAGGAAACATGGTCTACTAAAGTTTCTAAGTGAAATATACAAACAACATTAAGGGGTCAACGGTGACTTGAGCCAAAATTATATCACTAAATATAATTTGATAGATTATAACGTATTGCATATATTATCTTTCAAATAATAAATACTATTCGCAAGATCGGTGTAGTTTAGATGTGAAAATATTTAAACGCAGTTAATACATGCATAAAATGTAAATCATAAATAATTCTTTGCTAGATTAATAGCGATCTAAGTAATTATATTTATATAAACACACTGTAATTTAAAATATTTATTAGTTAAATATTTGGTAATAGTATACATAATATTAGGAAATATTTTATGTTCGTTTTACAAGAGATCTTCATTCGTGAAAAAATGAAGATCTCTTCTTGAACAATGAAAATATACTACGCTATATATATTTATGTAAAAATTAAGTCAAATGAGGTTTCTTAAAGAGAGAATTGTTTGAGAAAATGGAACAACAACTTATAACAAATACTAGATTCTAGAACTGAAAAATAATAGAAAATAACGAAACTAAAAGAAATCCATTTTTCTATGATTTAAATTGTTTATCATAGGAAACTATAAAACTATAATTCTTGACTTCCCACACTAAAAACCTTTAACATAAGAATGACTATAAGACCACATATGTCGACATAGAAACATGGTGGAGAGGTCAGAAAGATTAATTTCTCTTGTCATTTTCCTCCTATTAGGTTGAAGTAGTAACAATTTAGAGTTGATCAATACCCATGATAATATCTTCGTTCATGTCTACCTTTTCTTCACCATCACGTATGTTATGCACGACCGCAACAACCATTTTGTTTTTGCTCCCGATTTTAAGTGGAGGCTTAGTTCCGATAATTGGAGAAGCAACATCTGTGGAATGCTTAACACGCTTGGATGAGGATGATGATGCATTAAACATTGATTCTTTGGGTGAAATATTTATGCCTTTTAGAAGCTTGAATTTTGAATTATTGTTGCAGCTAGCAAGATATCTACGGCTCATGGGTGGATCATGATTGTGTTCACCAAAACAAGATACCAAGAAAATGTTCTCATCCTTTGAGCTTTTCTCAATTTGTTTCTTTGCTTCACAGTGTTTTGATGTGTCACACTTATAGTAATTCCTGTTATGCCATATACACAAAATAATAATCATCTTTTTTCAAATATTATAAGAGTATACACCCTTAATAATTTTTACTACTTTTTTTTATGAAAATTGAGAATGGAAGGGAACATAACTTTCTATGAAATGATAAAAATGGTGAGAGATCAAACCTTGGAAATGGGGAACCTTTGATATATTTTTGACCATACTTGCGCCATGCCCATTTGTCATTTGTCAGTTCCTCTTGCGACGATTCATAGGTAAGCATTATGGAGTGGGTTTTCCTGAATCTGAAGCACTAGAATCAAAATTTTGAACATAAACACATAAAACGTAATGAAGTGAGTGGTTACCTAGTTCGAGATTGGGTCAAAGGAGTCTTCATAGAAAAATAAAAATTAGAATGAATGTTATCCCCTATATTCAGTTGTTTTGGTATATCAATCCATTCTTCTTGTGTTGTAGTTGGTGTAACACATTCCACCGTTGTTCGTGATTGAGGAACAGTTATTTGTTGGATAAATTTAACTAGTGTAATTGAATGTAAGTACAATTGTTAATTGCTGTTTTGGTTCGTTATGCTAACCTTATCATATGATCTTTCCTGACGAGCGATTGGAAAATCTAAAGAAACAATTTCAGATAAACTAGTAAAACTACTCATGCAAGGAGATAAAGGTTTGTCAAAATAATTCCAAACATGAGACATATTCAAACCTAATTTAGGACCTACAACATTGTTAGGTTTATTGATATTACAACTTCTTGCTATTACACCTATATCCCGATTATCATCCCCCATTTTAGATCTATATATTATAATATCTAGTTAAATGCAAAAAATGAAAATGATTTTATAGGATAAACTAATGATGTTTTCTATAAAAGCATAGCTGAAAAGAGAATTCAAAGAGGGGGATGACTTATGGAGGAAGTAGATTAGCAAGAAGAACGTTTTAGTGAGTAAGAAATTATAAAAGAAAGTATGGGATGAAGAAAGTGAAGCTACTTCACAACTTAAATAGATAAAAATAAAAGCGTATCTACCTATCACGCAAGCCCACATTTACTTTTTAGTTAATGAAAAGTAAATAGTTTTTTCTATTTTAGAGTGAATGAGGTAGGCGACAAAGTAGTATTCAAAGATAATTTATGCGATACAAGAAAAGTCAAATAAAATTTATGTACCTTTTTTTTTGAGATTATACATATCATATGATATACACAAAACTAATCAAAGTCTATGATATGACACAAAATTTATCGTGATGACGCTTACCATAACACCTTTTTAGGCAAGCAAAAAAACCTAAATTTACAAAACATAAGAATATAACGATAAATAGCAAGAGGAAACAAGAAAAAGATACAAAATAGGGCCATAAAATAGAAATATATACATGATATACAATGTATAAAAGAGGCCTCAAAATGAAAGTAACATAAGAACTAAATCTCCAAACCTGGTGGAACTAGTACATGAAGAACTAAGTATAGAAACTCTATATAAAAATGGACTAACTAATCAAAATGCAAAACAAAAGACAGTAAAAAATAGAAAAAACAGCAAGTCTTTGGACACTAGGAAATCAACATAATCTGAGTCAGTGACGATCACGAGGGATTCAACCCTACATGAGAGTGTCTCCTACTTGTAATTCTGCTTGAAAAAGATACATAAATTTAGTATAAGTACTACATCACAGTTTGATCAATAGGTATCATGAGTCGACAGAGCTAAAAAAGATCAAATATATTAAGCGAAGTGTATACCTTTAGTTTAAAGCATTTTTGATTTGTTTCACTTAGAGTTGGTGTGTGTCTAGGGCTATTTTGTTGTTGCAAATAACGATTATATAAAATTCTTGTAGGAAATAAGTTTGGATGCGGTGGACTAAGATAAGAGTTGAAACATGCAGATTGGCAAATGACGGAGCCAACCACAAACACTTGGTTTATTGATGGGCTGTAGGTGATGCATCATAGATAATGGTTCAAATAATTTCAACAAACTCTTGAAATACACAAGATATCGATGACCTATAGATCGAATGACTGACCGACCTATACATCCGTCACTTGCAATTAGAAATTTGAAGTTTTATTACTTCAAACGTAGAGGCAAGTGAGGAAACGTAGTCAAGTCCAAAGACAATAGGTCCAACCATTGTTTGAAGTACCTATAATAATTTCCAAGAGTTAATCCACGAAGGAGACCATGGACCATCAGTGGATCCACAGTCTGTAGCTTCTTCCTCCGATTGAAACCGCATCTAACCAATTATTTCCTTATTTTGTTTCCTACTTGGTTGAGTATTTGTACTATGAATATTAGTTTTTATATACATTTTTGAGGGTTATACAATATTGTATACTTTAGTTTTGCTTTTTGGAATTATTTTTCTAACACTTGGCAATTTATTTTCTGGAACCTAGTTTATGCAAATTTTACATTTAACTTCAAATTAAAGATTTTGGTTTTCTTGTATTCTCATTGTAAGTTCATGAATTCTTTTATCCTAATTATGAATTATGAACTCTCAATCTCGATTGACTAAATCAACATCTAGGGTTTTTGGAACCATTAACAATTAACAAATATGAATAATAACAAAGTAACATAATAGTTTTTATGCATGTATTGTTAATCTTTTTATTTAGATGTCTTTGTATCAGTGCACATATTTAAAACTCGCCTCATTCCTACTTGAACTTACCAAGGGGGTAATCAATGAGAAAAATATTTTAAAACAGAGATTTAGTGAGGGATTTTCTTCTATCTAATAGTTTGACTTTAATCAATTTAGAAAAGGGCGAATGCCCTAGGTTAATAACTCAATGACTAATCGTGGGTGCAGGTAAGGTTAGTAACGCACACATTCGTAGATTTACCATTTCGCGAGTGAAAGTCCTTATGATTATAGACAATAACTTAGGGAGACATAACTTATCAACCTTGCATGTCAAACACTAGGGAAGGATTACTACTCACATTAAAATCTTGTGGGAAACACATATACCCTAGTTTCCATCTTATATTGATATCTCAAACAATGAATCTCTCTTACTTGTTACTTATTGATTCAAATTAACAACCTGTTACTTTATTTACAAAAAACCCTGTTTACCTATGTCAAAAATAGTTTGATTAAAAAGATATAATTGTGAGTATTTATGTGTCTAAACCATGTTCCTCGTGCTATTGAACCCAACTTACAAGTTTGATATTTTACTTGATAATGATTGTTTCTGCTTTTTTAAGAGAGGTGTAATTTTATATTATGAAATTTTGGCATTGCTTCCAAGGAATACAACTTTTAAATTAAGTTTAACTAAATTAATGAACTTTAGTCAAGTATTTCATAATTTTATGTTTTTTGTTTGTTTTTGTTTTCTACAGGTTTCAACTCTAAAATATGTCAAGTACACGAAATCAAGGGTAATCATTAACCCCCTATGATCGACAATTGAGAAGAACATTGAGGAAAATAAGTACACTACAATATAACTGGAGAGGGGTCTAGAAGATAGTCACGTCCCAAGCCTGTCCCGTAGACGTGGACACGTACCTAAGATCATACCCCAAGCTAACTCTACTTGTATGATATGAGCATAATGAGAGTAATAATAATGATGCGGATACTAATAATAAAGTATATCTAATATGATTGGGGAATAGAAATGTACAAAACTAAACATATTAAATGTGAGAATTCAATACAATGAAATATCCAACTCGAAATACTAATTTTAATCTAGTGATGTCTTAAAATAGCCCCTAACTAACTAGAAATTTTGGGACATGCCCAGCTATGCCTAGAAAAATTGAAAGTAAAAGGGTGAAATTTTTTAAGATAACAAAGGTATTGTCCTCGAAGGATGAGGACTCAACACTGGTGTTTTTAGAGCTAAGTAATCGAGCCGGCCGGGTAAAAGCTTGAGGGAATCCCTCAAACGTAATAGCATTTTCTTACTGTTATAGATAACAAGATCATATATCTGATGATCCTTTATAAGAGGCTTAAAGGTGTATTTACTAGAACCGCTAGCAAAGAATTTCAAAAAGAGATAGCCGTCAAATCGAGATAAGTTGTGGAAGTAGATAGTATGAATAGAAGGATCTTTACGAACTACGTGAGCTAAACGATCGATAAACTCGGTCAGCATCTTATAGCTCCTTTTACAGAAAGTATCATATATAAAAACTGGATACTCTTTTTTGAAATATGTTTCAATACTACCAACCTTCTCTATACACGGGGCATAGCCAGGTTTGACCACTACAAAGCCCACGGCATGTGGCATGTTCACTTTCTCTATATGATCAGTATAGGACTCTACCAGAATGGTTTCAGTATCTACAATAATGAAGGATCTTCTTTCCTTTCAATTAGTTTGAGTCTTGTAATATGCTTAAGGTACTTAGGTTTACGATTTTCAATCTTTCGCACAGCTATAAGATCATACACCTCATCGCTTACCAAGCTTTCAGCGATCAGGCGAGCTATCTGATTATTAGAGATATTCATCTCTACAGTAGAGAGGTTTTGATCATAATAGATTCGAATAAATATGTCAGTTAGAACAACATCGCCATATGCATCAGCCTTTTCCCTAACATATTCATCAACTATATCTCTGACAGACTGATTTACCCCACCCACTCTGAACGTGATAGCTTGGCCTAGGGCATAAGTTATTATACAACTAGTGGTTTCCATGCTATAATGAATAGTGAATTTTCCATACTCCGAATTTTTAGGGTATGCATACTTGAATAGCAGGTACATAATAAGATTCACTATAATCTCACACTCTTTACATCTTAATAAACCGTCGATCAGTTCAGCTTAAGCTATTCTCAGCGTGGGATAGGGGTATTTTCAATAAATATTCTTGATATATAAAAGACACCCTAAGTAGTCCATACTATTCCTGGTATTGTAAGGTCTTTTCCTTATTATCTTAGACCTCATCATTAATGTGTAAGTCTTATTCATAAGTGCAAACAATAAATATACGGGTAATCCATCAACTTACGTATAATAAGATGAATCAGAAGACAATTTAATACATTTAGGTATAGGGGCTGAATCCGTCAATCGTATAGATAGAATATAAATGATAGTAGGATTAGGAGATCTCTGTAAGCATCTATCTAGATCTATCTGACACAGCCCGCCAGGGGTGGGCTTCATCAAAGAGATTTATTGCAAGGAATGAGTTAATATATTCCATTGGGTGGGGGCTATTTAATAAGATTTCGATGTAACTTTCACCCATAGCATGTGAGAAATCCATGGTAGTGATGAAATTATTGTGAACTGTATATATAGGGATTCCCCTCTTTTTCATATTTTTGATCATATTAAATACTATAATAGCATCTTTCTGATGAATAAAATTCGCAAAAATTGCTGATGTAGTTTTTCTTTGATCACGTTCGGGTGTGGGAATATGTAGCTTTACCTGGCGTCTTTTCTTGCTTTGACGATCATATAACCATATATTAACAACTTCAAATTTCATATAGTCCTGCACTGTAGTGAGGGTTGAATAGTAGATAGGTGCCCCACTTGCAGACACAACCTAACCTACAGCTCGTATTAAAGTCATTAGGTTGACTATATGAGGAAATCTCTTTTTAAAGAGAATTTCTATATGTCTATCTAGTTCCAAGCATATTTTTTATGTAAAAGGACATTTAACTCATTATATAGATTGTCAGCCATACTGTACGTAGTCTTCCCATAAACCAAGGGCATTAGGAGTGATTTCACTAAATTTCTATGAAGAAGGGGG